TATTGCGTGGCACTCTAAGCCAACAACTTGGACCAAAAGAATGTATGAAGAATTCATGTTTACGCAGTGCCATGCGAGAGATTGGTTTGTAGATCATCAATCAGGCAAACCTTATGAAAAATATAAGCAAAATCAATATGATGTATTCATCTCTATTCGAAATATATATACAACTAGTGGGAACTATAAAAATATAAATATATTTTGAAGTATGATATAGTTGGATAAACCAAATGTAATACCTGTTATGAGTTTTGTCGTTGGATCTACTGAATTTAAGGTTTGATTGCGTACATACATACTATAAGTACATATTAACATTTGTACATGTGTAGAAACACATAAGCATGTAGTATACAAACATGCATACATTAAACAAATGTACTTGACTATAATATAATATAAACAGGTATATACATATATTGTGGAATATAGACACATTAACAAATATTTTTAGGTATGTGTACTTGTTTTTTAATTAAAATAAAATTAATTATGTTTAAATCAAATATGCATATGTATATATGAGGTTGCGATAACAATATAATTTAAAGTAAAATTATAAATGTTAAATGTGTAATTTGAACTTATAAATATATACTTATAAAATGATAAATATAGCTAGTTATGTATTTTATCTGTTTTATATACATATTGTATGTGCACGCGTCGCCTATCTCAATTCGATAATTTAACTGTGGAGAGTTACATGAAAACAAAAATCTGTTATCTTTATGCTTTTTCGATAGTGTGTATTTCCAAAAATATTCTGTGAAATCGGGTCGTATCTTGAATCGTTTTTGGATGGCAGCGTTCTAAAGAGGTACCGCTCGTAGGTACAAACATATAAAAGTGAAACTTTGAACGCGGTTTATCGAAACGACATTTTTTAAAATCAAAACAAATTCGACGCGAGAGTTGAAAATATGATGTTACTTTGAGGCGATAAAAAATTAATTTGGATGAAGATTGAAAAATTAACGTTTTATTTATAAATTCCCGATACTTTCTTTCTTTAAGTTTAATAAACCTTTTGCATTTTTTTCGGCCGGAATCATGCCAGCAGTTGGGAAAATCCAATGAAGTTCGAAACGTTCAATCGAGTTCATACTTTCTTTTAAAAAAATTCACGAAATCGACTATTTTTTACTGCGTTACACTGGTATAGCCCCTTAAGTTGAGTTACCATAAATATTGCGATACATCTTCAAAACCTTCAAACAGAAAATAAATGATGGAGGAATATAGTGGTAGGAGAAGTTAAGAACCGATTTTATCCACTTTCGGTACACAAAAAAAGAAATATCTCTCAAACGATTCGCCCATTGATCAATATCAGCATGCACAGTTTCTATAAGTATTGACGACGCAGCTCGAAGATTTGTTGAGAATTTCCAAATGTGTGGTGGCTAAGAAATAAATTATTTTTTATGATGTTGGCTGAACACTGTTCAGTTATAGTGGTGTTTTGGATGTGTATTTGAAAAGTTGATCAAAATTCCGAGTTTCGGCAAATAGCAGCTAGAATTGGTTGTAGTCATTCAACTATTGTTCGTCTTTTACAACAAAAAAGAAAATAGTGACGTCTTGTAACGAAAAAAGTCATCAGGTCATCCTCGAAAGTCAACTGAAAGAACGGATAAACTTCTATAAGGGCGGAGATATAAAATCTTTACCAAGTGGATTAAAGTGTCGAAACCATACGGGGACGGCTTAGAGATATGGAAAACGCCAACACAAAATGAAGACTTTACGACTTTCTTGGGCTAAAAAGTAACAAAAAGGGGATTAAAATGAGTGGCACTAGATTATGTGACAAAAACAAATTTTATTTGCTAATCTCACAAAATTTGCTTTCCCTATAAGTTTCCCAAAGGTAAATACTTAACGAACCAAAACAGGGACCTCTGCACCTTATCGATGGAATAATAATTACACCAAAATATCCAACGGCGGTTAACAATTTTTTAGAACCCGTAATTGAAGAGCATTATCCTTTTACCGCCTAATCTTAAAAGATGACATAGCGCCATGCCGTCTTTTATTTAGATTGGAAACAAAAACATCTATACAATATTGGTGTATGTGGTCCCATTGTAAGGGAAGCATGAGGTCCTAATGGATTCCATTCCTTGAAGAATCAAGGCAGTTATTGAGGTTTAGGAAGAAAATATTCGTTATTAAAAGGCCTACTTATTATTATACTTATTTCTACAGTTAGTGGTAGGTAAAGGTCTTAAGCGACACTTCACATAAAACCATAGCATTGAGAATTGTAAATGTGCAAACTCATTTTTTGTATGTAATCCAACAACACTTTTTTAAACCAGTGTAAAAATTTATAATTTTATGATTTTACGATGCTTTATGACGGGTTGTGAGTATGCCTATTACTTTTTTTTAACTAGCCATGAATATTATGGAATGTAAATTTTTGGTAAATTTTTTAAATTAACTGCCTATTCCTTATAAAAAAACATTTTCAAAAATATGGATATGGATAACTAATTCACACCATGTGACATGTGTGACAAATTGTTCATGTAATCTTATTTCAATTATATTTGGTTATACGTTTTTAGTGACCCTAAGTGTTTTTTCATGATTTGTATTTCTTTCCTTATCAATTAAGTGTTAAAGCAGAGTATTATCGTTGAAGATGGTACTGTTCTTATTTTCTCACTCTTAAGCCATGACATTACCAATGAGAATGGAATTGAATTGCTGATACCGGTTTTTCGAAATGTAAATAACTTATATGAGTATGCTTAGAACTTTAAAATAAATATTTTTATTTAAAATTTTCGGCTTCAATTCTCAGTCAGTGATTTGAATGAACGGGTTTAACAGATGAGGTTGATGATCAAGTAGAATCTAAAAATTAAACATGAAGAATGTATTTAGTGGGTAAAGCAAAATAACGTCGATTTCACAAAATTTATTGTATTGACTGAACGTCAGGAAGAAGCCATTTAATGTAAGCTTCATATTCCAATGAAGCAAACGACGATAAATATTTTTTTAAATAACTATTAAAACTTATATTACTAATATACAAATATTTTGATTTCGTTATTTGCTTTTTAAGCACATCACTTCATTTCAGACACCATGCATATGCGCATAAAATTGTTTCATTTTACTAATTATTTCGGAATACTGCTGCAATTCTTATTTCACGTCAGTTTTATATATATTTTTAAAATGTTATTACGGAAGATATTATAGTATGAAATTCACATTTTTGTAGTAAAACCTCCCTACAGGTTTAATTGACAAGGCGACTACCTATCGTGCGACTTCTTCAACCTGCTGCTGGAGAAAATAGTTCGAGCTGCAGATCTTCATCGAGCATGTACCATCTTTTACAAGAGTGTACAGCTGCTGGCGTATGCCGATCATATTGATATCATCGGCCTCAACACCCACGCCGTCAGTTCTGCTTTCTCCAGACTGAACAAGGAGGCGAAGCAAATGGGTCTGGCAGTGAACGAGGGCAAGACGAGATCTCCTGTCTTGGCTCTCACGTCACGTCACGTAGCGAAAAGAAACAACTGGCGCTGTTGTTAACTCGGCTATAATCGCGTAGGCGGTGTTTACGCCAATTAAGAAGAAGAAGAAAGATTTGATATTCCTAAAATTTCAATCAATTCAATATTGTCATTCGAGTTGGGAATTTGAAAGACTATTGTTATACATCTTGTTATACACTTTATCTTCTTTACGAGCGTACTCACCGCTCCGTTGCTAACTCTCATTTAAACCTCAAAATTTTATAGAGTAATAGCCTTGACAGACGACAGCGCTAATATGCATTAGCGGGCTTAATTTACATTTACTTGCGCATTTGACCCCTGTTAATGCAAATTTGTAATGCACAAGAATTTCGTGCATTTAGCTGAATTTACCAAATTGAAGTAGACAACACTGCTCAGGAATGACCGATTTTTGCTATTTAAGCCCTGACAGACGAGCAAAATTAATGCACCTTAAGCAACGCTAATGCGCATTGAAATTTTATGGGACAGACGGCAGACTTGTGAATTTAGACAAGTGAAAGTGAAATTTGTTTATTTATTTAAAAGAAACGAATAAGATAAAAGATTAACAAAAACTTTGGTAATTTTGGAAAATCAGTATAAACTAAAAAAAAAATCGTTTGTTATTAACTACGTTAAAAGATCATAGAGTGAAATTAAAAGCAATAGTTGATTGTAATGCGGAAAAAGTTAAGAATATTGAAATAATGTTTATTTTCTGCCATCTAAAAATATAAAAATTTGTTTCTGTTAATATACTTACACATAATTTAATTAGCAATATAAGAACTGTTTACATTTGATGCTGTAAACACAAAGAAGGCGGCAGATTTCAAGCGACATCTGTCAAACAATAGCAAAATTTCACCACTTTTAGGCAGCGTTACCTACTCAAATTTGGTAAATTCAGTTAAATACACAAAATTTTTGTGCTTTACTAACTTGCATTAACGTGTTTCAAATGCGCAAATAAATGTAAATTAAGCCCGCTAATGCATATTAGCGCTGTCGTCTGTCAGGGCTATAAGATTACGTTCTCTGGTTGCTCCATTTTCACTCCAACTCAACACAGTTAAAATTTTTACCGTTCGGTACACAGCCCCATTAAAATTTTTTTAACATTTTGTTTGTATTGGCAACTCTGTATGGTTTAATAGCGTTCTACATGTTTACAGATTTTATGGAAAACAAGAAAATTAATCCGAGACATATTATTACAACTAAAATTCTTGTAAAACAACCATATTTCGTATTTTAGTGCACAATAAATTCTATATAAAAATATAAAATAAAATCAAAATTACCTAATTTCTTATTAGAGTGATGTATAATAAAAGAAAAACAAAAAACATTGCGTCAGCAATATAATATTAATGTTTTTTTTTTTTTTTTTTTTTTTTTTTTTTTTTTTTTTTTTTTTTTTTTTTTTTTTTTTTTTTTTTTTTTTTTTTTTTTTTTTTTTTTTGTATAACCGACCATTGACATCAAACTTGCCGAGAACGTAAAATTTATAATTGTAGTTTTTCTTCAAATTAAAACGATTTGTTATCAACATACAAAATGTCGAAAATAGAGGAAGTAAGAGTTGAAATTAGTGGCGAAATGAAAGTTCCCAATGAGCAACAAAAACTGCAATTGGATTTTAGCAGGTACATGTTATTTATAAATACATTTATATGAAGGATGTTAGTTATGATATTTATATTCCCTAGTTTAAGTAACTTTCAAAGAATTCCAAGTCCCATGGATCTCATACACATGACAAGGAAATATATACGCCCATGGTCTGAGTTTATTAATACTTCAAATTTCAAAACAGCAGCGAGTATGCCACGTTTAACGAACCGATTTGTGCGCAATATAAGTTACTTCCAAAGCAATTACATATTTATATTTGTATTACTGATGATATACTGTCTGTAAGTTTGTTGTAAAAAAAAGTTTCCAATATTTTTTAATTGTCAATTAATCTGAAGAATCACATCGCCGTTATTACTACTAATTTTGGGTGCTGTGGTATATGGATGCCATAAAATTAAGAAAGCTCAAATACCTATCACTATTTTTGGACAGCAGCTGGGAACTAATCATCAAATAATGGTTATTAATTTTGCCTCTGTGCCAATTTTGTACTTGGCAGGTGCGGGTGCCGCATTGTTTTGGACATTAGGTAAGTTTCCTCTTTGGTACAGCAGGAAAGTATCAATATTATTATTTTTTAATAGGCGCATCTTGTTTCGTAATCTCACTGCACGCTTTATTCTACAATATTGACGCTATTGTAACTGAAGAAAATGAAGGATTTCTTTCAGAGGTTGTGTAAAAAATATCACGTGTCACATAAGGTTCTTTTACAGAAATTAACCATAGAGCGTTAAAAATTAATAAATACCAATTTTTTTATACTTAAACACAATTTTTGAACTAATTATTAAATTTCATTATATTTTATAAATAAAATATATTAAATTTCAATCAAATAATGTTTACATCATCTGCAAAAACATTTTTGTGATCGTTTCTTTATTTAGTTTTCCTCAAATAGAAATTACATATCATATGCGAAAAACAATAAGTAAAACGGAACATAGACAATACGACTTCCGCTGTGCAAATATTATTTATCTTTAGTTTGAAATTAAGTGTAGATTTTAGGTGGAAGCATTACTCGATGAAGATGATGTTGGCTTTGCTAATCTTTGTGCGTATATACGTCGTAAAAGACGGTTGCCGCAAATAAAAGTGAATACTGCGATGGGGATAAGCAAACGTAGAGTTTGGAACATATTCAAATTTACCCAAAAAACTGCAAATAGTGCAAGTATGCCACCAAAACCTGAATGAAATCCTAACGTGCTGAGCTCGAAAGTGAAATTAGACAAGTTCATGCCCAATTTTCCCCAAAAAATCAGTAATAATACCAGCGGAGTTAAACACAGACCGGTAAAAACATCAGAAACAAAACGCGGAGGTCGTTTTTCAGGAGGACGAAACATATGCTCTATCTCTGGAAGCGTATTACGGATTGGCAGCTTCATTGATGTCTCTGAAAATAAAACTAGAAATATATAAACAGGAATTTATATATTTATTTATATATTACCCGTTTCTTGGGGAAATTTCAATTCAACGTTCGCCACTTTCCAATTGAATGAATTTGAAATTGATGAATCCCCAATGATTAAATGGAGTTCATAATCCCCAGATTTGTATCTAAAATCAGCTCCGTGCGATCCTACATCCATATCAAATTTGTAGGCTTTATTACTATCTTGTTCGGCAACGAAAATTATTTCTTCTTCCGTTTCCACATTAAACATAAGAACGAAGGCTTGATGAACTGTTATTACCTATAATAAAATGAAAATATTAAATTCATCCAAATTGTGTATGTTACACTACCTTCGTGGTGCTTTCATCAGTGAGAACTGTTTTAAGCAGTATTTTTTGAGTATTATCGGCCTTTAAAGTTCCAGGTAGAGTTTGAGGATACGTAACACTTTGTTTCTTAACAGACGAACTTGTATCAGCTTCAGCCACACCAATTTCCAAAGAGTGTACTTTTACACGGCCAAGAACTTTGAAAAACATTGTTTGGGTGAACGTATTGTCCGCATTGATAACTACCGAATATATACCGCGAGTTGGTTTATAGTTAGATAATTGGGCTGCAAATATACTTTTATCTGAAGATTTAGGTGTTAATTGAACTTTTTCAGCAAGTACGCTGTTGTCTTTTTTTAAAAGTATTTTTCCGTATATGTTTTGTGGTGGAGGTATTATAGGATTTCCCAACAAATCCAGAACGGCCACATTGAGTACTGGATCATCAGAATCTAACTGTCCATTTCCGATCAATTGAATACAGACTGGGGTACTTTTCCCTGCACTATTTAATGTCTTCAATGCTTCAATTAGGACATGGGCACCTTTAGCTGATTGTACGGAACGGCGATTAAGGAAATAGGTAGCAAATTTCACTGCTTGCTCTGAATCAAGCGGTATTGGTTTTTTGAAAATATTTGTCACTCGGAATATTCCAGTCACAACCAAAGCAGTTATGCTAAGACCTCCCTCAAATTGTAACATCTTTCCATCAACTTCATCAGCTTGAACAATTGCGTCTTCAACACGATCTGCCACAAATGCTGCATCACCACCCAATTCGCTGGCAATATGAAATGCATACCCAAGACTAACTATAGAATCATCTTTCTTTAACAAATCTTGAAGTATTTTTAAAATGGATGCGATATTTTGGTCTTCAATTTGTACCCCCAAAAGCTTATGGCTGAGGACTCTGTAAAAAATTTCTTGAGAAGAACTAGGGGTTGCCTTAAAGGATGAATAAACTTTCCCTAAAAATGCTTCAGGCAATTTCTCCTTGCAAAGTAAATTCTTTCTTGCTCCAATTAGATAAAAGTCTTTTTCATAAACCTGCAATAAAATATATATTAATGGAAAAATGATAGTAGACATAGTTCATTTCTTACATTTAATTTAGAATCTTCGTAAAGTTTTTGCAGTTTAGAACATAAATCCGCTGATTCTTTGATATCCAAATCCTTAAGATTTAAGGAAGAATAGTAAATGGCCTGCAAATCATTCAGTTTTAAGCCTTCAGAAAATACTCGTTGCAAACGGTTAATGTCTTTTTGTCCTAGATAATCTTGTACAGTACGCGCTCCCATTGTTGTCGCACTTAGAGACAACGCTAACGCAGCGTATACCAGTACTAAATAGATATAATTTACTTTTTGAAAATTTGAGTTTAATGCATGTATATAAATATACTGCCGGTAAACGAGTTCTCAGCAAGTGGTAGAGGAAGTCACTCGTGAAAGTTCTCAACCGGCTTTTACAAAAAACAATCCTTTAAAATATTAAAGCTATCTTTAGCAGTAATTTTATTTAAAATAGCTTACCCAAAATGTACATTATGAAACACTTTCTAAACGAACCAAATTATTTAGTATTCATTAAATGCACTTTGAAGAAAACTAATTATATGCTTTTGGACACTGAAAAAATTTGACAGACACGTCAACGTGAATTCTTCTTTTGGAATTATGCAGGTGCGAGAGCAAACACTAGTGCGTCGCATTAATGATCATTTGTCTCTTTTATATTCCAAGTGACTAGTTCGAACGGTTGCCAAGTTAAATTAATTTAAGAAATAAACCTTATTATAACAAGTGCAGTTCCTATTTATATTCTGAAATCATAAATGTTTATATCGTCGTTGACAAAGTTGAATACGTAAAAATGCCCAAAGTATTTGTAAATATATTGCAGCATTTTTTGTTTTCCGCAATCCGTTTTGATCATGTTGGTTTTATTGTAAACGTAATCTTTGGAGATAAGAAATTACTCTTAATGGTTACTTCCGCTACTAGCCTTAATCAGTTTTGAACGCAAAATTTCAATTTAACACGTTGTTCATTTTTTCCATGGTACAAATCATCAGACAACCAACAAGCAGATGCCAGATGTCTTATAGCGTTGAGCGAAGTCCCAAAATAAAGTGGTAACGTTCACAAAAATTCTAAATCTTCTTCTTCTTCTTGATTGGCGTAGTCACCGCTTACGCGATTATAGCAAAATTAACAACCGCGCGCCAGCAGAGAACGTATATTTATAAATATA